TTGTCAATTCGGAAAGCACAGGGTTTGGTTTCTTTGGAGAGAGAGGGAGGGAGGGAAGGAGAGAGAGAGAGAGAGAGAGAGAGAGAGGAAGTTGTGTTTCAATTCCTCTGGCTGCTATAATAAAATGCTACAGATTGGGTAGTTTAAAACAACAAAAAATAATTTACCACAGTTCTAAAGGCTAGAAGTTCAAGATCAAGGTGTCAACAGGGCCCTCTGGTTGCACACTTCTCCTTATATTTTTACTTGGTGGGAGGGGAGGGGCTAGGGAGCTCTATGGAATCTCTTTATTTTTAGAATAGCACTAATCTTATTTATGAAGACTTTACCCTCATGCTTTAAGCACCCACAAAGGCCCCACCTCCTGATACTATCACATTAAGCAAAAGATTACAACATATGGATTTGCAGGGGATACAAACATTCAAATAATAGCATCTTGAGTCATTAACATTGAACTCATGGCCAAGGGCACTAAACTAAGGCCCAAATGAATCTTATCTAGCACATGTACTTTCTCAGTAAGAGGCATCACAGCCTGCTTGTGTATTGGAAGACGGATGGCACTTCAGACCTACACTTGGAGGCCATTTCACACAGTGAAATCACCAACAAAAGGCACAACAAATGCAAAAGGACACTATATAGGCTTCAAAAAGGATACATTTATAATATGAGAGCTGAAATAAGAATTCAGAGCATAGATTTGATCTTATCAGGGAGTATGGGCTGTTGGTAATTCAAATTTTTTAGTTCTGCACATTTCTGTGAATGATCATGAAAGCATCTCCAGTGTTGAGTTTACAGTTACAAATAAATTTTAAGGGGTATGTGAATTTTCAAATACAGAATCAGTAAATAAGATGGATCAACTCTACTTAAGTGTTTGTTGATTTTTACAGGTCCTTCTAACACAGTCTCATAAATCATGTTCCTAAAAGCTGATATTCATACTTATGCAAAAAAAAAAAAGTAGAATTCTCTTTGGAAGACCCAAGTGGACTTTTGAGGGTAAAATGGAGCAACTATTCTTGGCATTATCATCCTAGAGCAAGGACCACACACTAACACACACAAAATCTAGTACTACCTCCAATTGAATGGCAATGTCCCATTTGCTCAATCTTTAGGTGATGCCTGCCTTTTGAGCTCCATGCTGCTTGCTTTTTGAATGAATTGTTGGTAGTACTGAAGGGGTCAACCTATTCCCTACATGGCGAAATGCTTCTAGAAGGCATGAGATGAGTTTGAGAACAGCTAATTGAGAAACAGGAACCACTATATATGTCAGAGGACAGTATGGCCAGCTTAAGATGAGGAAGGAAGAGGGTTCACATTCTTTCTGGCATTCCTACTTCACTGCTCGAGTCTGTAGAATAAACTTAGTCCACAGTTTGGACACATAAAATCAGTGATTGTGAAAGACTAGTGAGTGGGGGAAAAATGGTGGCTGGATAGAGGAAGGGAGAGGAATCTCTCAGGAAAACCACAAACATGGATTTCATGTGTTTGAGAACAAAGATAGAAATAGGTTATTATAAGAATCAACGTTCAGAATCAAGGATAGAGGGCCGTGGTCACAATACAAGTCAATATCATATTAGTTGAAATTATCAATAATACAAAGATGTTCCAATACAATTACTTGAATAAAGTCTGGACTCATTTTATCAATCTTGAAACAGCAATTTTTGGTTATTGGTCATGGGCAGCCCTTCTCTGATAGAGCTTCATGAGGTCTAACATTCTGGGTTCCAGCCTCATCAATTAATCCCTCTCTGGTTGCCTTATTAAGACCTGTGCAAAAGAGCTTCAGTTTTTTACTAACAAAAATCAACTTTTCCTGTTTCTGATATTCAACTTTAAAAACATTATCTATAATTTATTTTTACTTTTATCACCAAACTTCTCAAGTAGTCAACATATCAAATTCTGTTAATTCCCTCCATGACCCTTTGCAATCTCTCTCTATTCTCTGCCATTCTTAGGAACCTTTGGCTCCTCAATACAAATATCTTTTTTTGAGTTTCCATTCTAAAATGCTTAACTCTAATAGCTACACTACACTTTGCTCTATCAGGGGTGGGCAAACTTTTTGACTCGAGGGCCACAATGAGTTCTTAAACTGGACCGGAGGGCCGGAACAAAAGCATGGATGGAGTGTTTGTGTGAACTAATATAAATTCAAAGTAAACATCATTACATAAAAGGGTATGGTCTTTTTTTTTTTTAGTTTTATTCATTTCAAACGGGCTGGATCCGGCCCGCGGGCCGTAGTTTGCCCACGGCTGCAGTTACTTCAAACCAATAACATATCATTATCTAGGTCCCCCCACTCACCTTTAAAATTTATTAAAAATATTTTTTATTGGTTTCAGAAAGAAAGGGAGAGGGAGAAAGAGATAGAAATATCAATGATAACAGAGAATCAGTGATCAGCTGCCTTCTGCACGACCCCTCCTGGGGATAGAGCCTGCAATCAGGGCATGTGCCCTTCACCAGGAATCGAACTGTGACCTCCTACTTCATAGGTCAACACTCAACCACTGACCCACACTGGCCAGGCTCCCCCTACCTTTTAGACTATCATTTACCCCTTCCCTGCATAGTTTTTTACACTTCGCAAAATTAGTAGAGCTTCCCTGAGATATTATTTATAGCTCTTTCTAGTTTATTCTTTATAAATTCCCCTTCAGAGATTTCTTCCACATGCAAGCGTTTAAAGGCACTCTATGCCGAGAAATCTCTCATCGGTAGACTTTTCTATTACCCTAGCTCTTTCTGGCTATTTTCATCGCACTTTTTGGTTAATGTTCACTGTTTTCCTTTTGTCACCACACATCCACCACTCAACACAGAAATCTGTCTTCTTTTCTAACTCACAAATGAACTTGTTATTGCTAAATAACTAGACTTCTGGGTTTTTCATCTAATACACTTTCAGCCCTTATTTTACTGGACAATTCGTCAGCAATATCACATTGATATTATTTTCTCCTTTGCTTTGTACAACATTTTTCTTTCGCACTTTTTTTCTACTTTGCTTTCCCCCTACTGCTTAGGTTTTTCTTGGTTTCCTCTGCTAGATCTTATTTCCCTGCCTGTGCCTGGCCTTCAATTGTGCCCTTCCCCTTACCTGATCTACCGTTTCTTTACACACCACAGTGCTTTAAATATATATGTCTGTCTTAGGACCTGAACTCTCTTCAGCATTTGAATCATGTATCCAAATATTTACTGCATATATATTTACTTGAACATGAGGGAAAACTCTGAGGATTAAATAACATATTCAACATGGCCAACATAGACTTCTTCACCTTCTCCCCAGGCTTGCTCTTCCTCATAAGTTGCCTCATCTCTATCTACTTGCCTCCCCCTATGTAAAAGGCTCCATCCCCTCTTTTCTAGGGCATATCTTAGGATAGCTCATTAATCCATATTAATATATTTTAGTCAATATATTATTCCCATTTTACTGATGACAAAACTGAGGCTCAGAAATGTTAAGTAATTTGCCAATACAACATCACCAGAAAGTGGCTGAGATAGACTGGTATTTATTACATCCCACATTTCTTTTGTGAATTTCTACTCCAGACACTAAGTCCAGTTCAAATGTGCCTTCTTAATGAAGCCCTCTCTGATCGCCCCAGCCAAAAATGACCACAGAAGCTTCAACCTGATTTATTTAATTTTAAGATTCCAAGTTATATTACATGTTGTTGTGTATTTCTCTTCAAACTTATAGCAGACTTTGTGTTTCTTAAAGGAAAGAACCAACTCCTGTCAAATGGGAAATATTCTTTCTATTGTGGAAAAGTCTAGTTGTTCAATTTGCAAGACTAGAAAAAGCTTAAAGTTCTGTGTTTATCCGTAAGCTGCACAACGAATTTCTCTATTAAAATTAAAAAAGACAGTATTGATATTTTCCAAAAAGTTTTATTCTTCTTAGTGATTTATATTCTGCTTCAGTTCCTTGATACCAATTATATAGAGTGTCATAGAACTTCTAACACATTCTTAATTTGGAGGATTTATACCAGTGCTTTGGGAATTAAAGAAAGCATAATAGAGAAGTGAGAAAAAGTATTACTCAAATAATGTCACCCAAATAAAAAACACTAATAATAAAACCCATCTGAAAGTATGTAATGTCGTGGCCCTATCTAGCACTATATAAAACCAAAAACTTGAAGCAAGGCAAAAATGACTTGAAAATAATCCTTTGCAAGGCAATAGTAAGCATTTTAGAACACAGAGATGTTACATCAATCAATAAAAAGCCTTAATTGTATTTTGACAAAAGTTTCTAAGCTTCCAGCCAAATGAACAGATACAATAAATTTTTTGAGGATGCAGCATCATAAAGTGTATAGTGGTCATTACTTTGCAGTTTCATACAGTGTTAATTATTTGTCAGTACAGAGTTCACAGAGCAGAGGTAAATTTGCTATATGTTTTTGTAAAAGTAATCATTGCCAGGCAACAAAAGCCTGATTCAAGTAAATCTTTTCTCAGAAATAAAATTTTAACTTGCAAATGAATTTAAGGGTTAGTTAGAGAACTTTGCACTTTTGAATTCATTAGTGAATTTATTAGATTCATTCAGGTCAATGGCACTTTTACACCCCCATCAGATTTTTTAAAACCATCCTGGCTCTGTGCCTAAATATATATATGAATGCAAACATTCTCAGCAATTAACTGGACAGTACAATTCAGGTCAATGGCACTTTTACACCCCCATCAGATTTCTAAAACCATCCTGGTTCTGTGCCTAAATATATATATAAATGCAAAAATTTTCAGCAATTAACTGGACAGTACCGGGTAAATGCAATGAGCTGGGAATTCACTGTGCTAACCTCCATTAGTGCTGATGAGAGTTGTGTACTTAATTCCCTCTCGCTGCTCTTAACTTTCAACTTCTCTGTGGGATCTATTCCAATGCATTTAATTTTAACACCCTGCCCCCACCCCCTGACGAGTTTTCTTACCTCAGTAATGAAGGATTTGGCTGTGGCGGGATTCATAATGAGGATGGCTCTCCTAAGAGTGTCTCGATAGCGATTCAATTCCTCGATTCTCATGGTATCAAAGAGAGTGGTGATCATTTTATTGATGTTGTTTTCTACCTTTTGAAGTGCAACATCCATCCCCTGCTGAGATACTCTGTCCAGAAACTCCTGTATTCCACGGATATCTAGGAACATCAAAATCCCATCACAGTGTGAACTGGAGCACAGAAGGGAGACAAGAACTGTTTCATTTACAGCAGAGTAGCTTATTGTTCAACATGGTAGGCTGGCTGTCTAAAACTACTAACCGAGTAGCAGGTGAAACTCTCAAATATGTTTAAGATTTAGCATGATTTACTGTGTTTAAGTAACAAATGTAGAGATTATTATTTTTAAAGTGAATTTCTTTTTCTTCACTGGACATTCTAAACCATCTCACCTGTGGAAAATGTTAGGCTAGGACCCTCTCACTTCCCTAACGCAGTTGTCAGATAAGGAAAGTACACTTGTGATTTTTCCTCAGCATTAAAGAAGTGATATCAACCTCAGGAAAAACATGAATAGCATTGATGAATGTATCTGAATAAAGATTGCTAATATTTATTAAAATAAGGCAACCATATCACCAAACTTCACATTTACGATCTAAATGGAAAGAGAGTTTTGAGGGGTTATCTTCAAAGTGTCGCAGGTCACTTAGACCACAAATAAAATAGCTTCATTTTTGTCTATTTTATGAGAACCACCCCCTTAGCTCAAATTTGGCAAACAGGGTAGGAGACAGTTTTCTTATCAGGAGTATAAGGATTATACTTTGTATATAAAACAAAATTTAATTTAATATTCACACACCCATTAAGGAAAAAATAAGTTCTGAAAGATTATCAGAAAAAAATTATGTACAATTTACTTTTAAATAAAGAGGATAAAGTCAAGTCTAAATAAAGTGTTTATAGATTTATTCCTGGATGTATATTCAAGTATCAATAAATGTCTGAAATGTTACCAATATTTCTTCCTAGTACCACATTGACTGTTTATAGAAGGGATTTGAACATTGATAAGTATAATTGGAAAATATATGTTAGAATATAAACTTAATATAGCAGATTTGTTTTTACTATATAATAAACTACATGTTTTCTGCATATGTTCATGCCATACAATGTCTTAATGGAGAAAACTAGTTAAGGATAAGAAGTAAATGGGGTTGTGGCATTGTCAATGGACTATATAAAAATTCTTAATTGTACACGATTGCATGCATGCAAAATTTGTCTCTCAAGGGAAAGAATTAGTTCATTTGTTTTTTAAGACATTAACAATTAAAAGCAATATATAAACCTATAGAGCAAGACAACAAATAGTCACAAACTTTGAAATTGACATTTACTCATAACAAAATTTATTCTTACAAGGTTACAAATTAATTTTAAAATTTTGCTTCCTTATTAGTTTTATTTTAAAATAATTACTGAAATAGAATAGATAACTATATAAATGCTACCTTATATTCCTTATTCCTAATTATATTATAAACCCAGGATGGCAGAATCATAGCAGCTTAAAAGAACAAAGCCTCATCTAGAGCAGAACAAGAGATAAAAGAGTGGGGATAATAAATGTATTATGTACTCATTAAATATCCAAGTCTGAAAGTACCTAAGGGGGTAAGATACTCAGGAGTGGATTAGACAAAGGGTTAGATCGGATGCAATTTCACAGATGTGGTAGACATGTAACAGGACTATGCACACTAAAGGAGACGTTCCCAAATGTTGGTGTGAATCAGAATCACTTAGAAATCTTATAAAAAATAAAAATAAAAATAAAGCCCAGAACCAATATGCCTTTAAAATACATGTCCAGCAGATCTTTGATTTTGAATTTTAAGTTGTTGTTTCATTTCATTTTTTTTAGTTTGAATCACTTCTATGTGGATCTAAATATAAAAAAGGGGACATCTGTAATACGTTTAACAGTAAAGATAAATTAAAAAATAAGTAAATATAAAACAAAATTAAAAATACATTGAAATAAGTAGAGATGCTAAGAAAACACTGTGTGACCAGAGCATAAGCTCCAGATCTGCATGCTCTAGGAAATGCTCTGTTCACAGAAATAACATATCAATGCAATTTCATATCTTAACTTTGATGCTCCAAAAATATTTATTGAATATGGGACAGGATGTTGTATACAAGGAGTACAACAGTGAATACCCTCTCCACACTGAGACAGACAATAAACAAGTAAACAACAAATACATACAAACCACATCAGTGCTTGAAGGAAACAGGAAGGGTATCCTGGGAGATAATGCCAAGACGAGGAAGGGGATCTATTTAGTTAGAATATTCAAGGGAAGTTGCTCTGGAAAACTGGTTTTTAAATTGTTCTAAAGGATGAGAAGACATTACCTAGACAGAGGATAGGAAGTGAAGACAACAGCATGGAGAACATGCCCGAGGGCAGCAAAGAGCTAGTGTTTGAAGTTGAAGGATTCCAGTGTGGTGTAGCCCAGTCAGTAAGGAGGGCAGAGGTAGGTGAAGCTCCTTGTAGAGTGTGGGTCACATTATGTGGACCCTGATGAGACACAGACAGATTTTGCTTTTATTCTAAATATGGTTTTTATCTATTGAAAAATTTAAGTAGCGGTTCTAAGTAGATGACAGGCTGTGTGTTCAGTATGAAAAGCAGTTTAAGTCTGCGAGTGACTTGTTAAGATAGCCTGATTCAAATGGAGTTTGTAAATGATATCCCCTTGATTTTAAAACATTCTGACAGACTTTAGCTTTTATTTTTTAATAGAAGGTAAGTTTTATATGTATAGTTATTGGGCCAGAAAAGTGATGTGATAAAATATTGTTAGTATCCCTCTGCTTCCTTATTCTGGAATTATGGTTATCATTGCCTAATACATGTGATTCTGAAAAGGTGATTGATAGGCATACACACGTACATGCTCATGCCCTCACTAATCTAATCTTATAAGACATCTATGAAATAAATATTTCTTTATTTAGAGATCAGAAATATTTTATGGTGATTGCCAGGGGTTGCAGGGTGAATGGAGATTGAGGAGGGTCTAGGGGGGAATAAATGGTGATAAATGGGGAACAAATCACATGTATTATCTTGCTTAATACATGTGATTCTGAAAATTTTTTTAAATCTCTTTTTTTTGTCCTTTTTATTAGTTTATTGGGCTGACAGGGATTTAAAAATATACAATTTTCAGGTGCACAAATGTGTGTTCACCACCCAAGTCAAGTCCCTATCACCATGTATTCCCCCCTAGACCCTCCTCAATCTCCATTCACCCTCCAACCCCTGGCAATCACCATAAAATATTTCTGATCTCTAAATAAAGAAATATTTATTTCATAGATGTCTTATAAGATTAGATTAGTGAGGGCATGAGCATGTACGTGTGTATGCCTATCAATCACATGGCATTTGCTATTATACTATAACCATAATTCCAGAATAAGGAAGCAGAGGGATACTAACAATATTTTATCACATCACTTTTCTGGCCCAATAACTATACATATAAAACTTACCTTCTATTAAAAAATAAAAGCTAAAGTCTGTCAGAATGTTTTAAAATCAAGGGGATATCATTTACAAACTCCATTTGAATCAGGCTATCTTAACAAGTCACTCGCAGACTTAAACTGCTTTTCATACTGAACACACAGCCTGTCATCTACTTAGAACCTCTACTTAAATTTTTCAATAGATAAAAACCATATTTAGAATAAAAGCAAAACCTCTCTGTGTCTCACCAGGGTCCACATAATGTGACCCACACTCTACAAGGAGCGTCACCTACCTCTGCCCTCCTTACTGACTGGCCTACACCACACTGGAATCCTTCAACTTCAAACACTAGCTCTTTGCTGCCCTCGGGCATGTTCTCCATGCTGTTGTCTTCACTTCCTATCCTCTGTCTAGGTAATGTCTTCTCATCCTTTAGAACA